TGTGTGTGTGTGTGTGTGTGTGTGTGTGTGTGTGTGTGTGTGTGTGTGTGTCTACTTGTGCGTGTGAAACATTGTTTCAAGCTATCTAGTTATTGGAACGGAAAGGAATGGCGGAAGGCTGGTGCTGAAGAGCAGGCCTCTTGAGGGGGGAAGAGAGAGAAGAGAGGGGCCACAGGCAAGTGAAAATCCTTTTTTGTTGTTTCTGCTGATTGTTGAGACACAGAAGAGGGGGATTAATTTGTCTCAAGGTCTGACAACAACCATCAACAGACAGCAGCTTTTCCCCCTTTTTTTTCTTTTTGTTTGTTTATATAAACTGGTGCCAGTACGGGGTGTGGGATGACAGTTTTGTAAAGATGCACAGAATAATCAGATCATAGTCAAATATATAACATGGTAAACGAGAACAAATATGCCCTATGATTCCAGACAAATCTTTAAATTGAATTCCTTTAATTATAACTATACATCATCATAGCCTGAATAATATAGTTACAAAATGCATACCTTTTGGGGGCTTTAACATGTGGACTTCTGGATTTCCCTGTTCCTATTGTAAAGTCACACCAAATCCTCAAAAAACAGTTTAAGACAGCAATATTTCAAATACTGATGTAGTATAGTAGCTGTAGTATCACCAAAAGACAAAGAACTTTCCCAAAAATATATGAACATTTGTAAAAAAGTAAAATACGTATAGCAGATTTTTTAAAAAACAACAACGTCGTGTGGTTTTTGGAAACACTGTAGTTATGAGGAATACAAGGAAAAATAAGCTTTAGGGAAAATGGGACAAACATTATAGCCTGCATATTATAGTCTCTTAAAATATATGTTGGCTTCACTGATTTAAAAAAATAAAAATAAAAAATAATTACTGTATTGAGAAGGCCATTCATTTTACACGCAAGCCTTATTATTTCTCATAAAGACACATGATATTTTCTGCAGCGGCTCGTAGCAAGAAGGGACACAAATATAAAGGTGCAGCTTTTCAAGACATTCAGTGTTATCTAAAGTGGAAAAATATTAACATCACAGAGAAATATAATAACAAAGATAGTCTAGCTGCTATTTAACTTCTGGTAACTACACAGTAAGACATGTAATACCAGTTCTAAAATATTTTCGTCTCTAATAACTGGTTGTAAACCTTTAAATGTTTGGTCACACAGTCATGAACCCTAATCCCGCCCCTTTTTCCTGTTGGTCCCTTTTTTTTCTTCTTCAGTGGAATAAACACCAGTGCCAACCAGTCAGTGTTTTATTGATACGGAGCAGAATGCTGTAATTTTAAGTGTTAATGGCTTATGTCAAAAAAATAAGAAGGAAAAAATGCAATGAAAAACTTTTGTTATCAAAACTCTGGTTCTCAGGTGGTGAATTCTGCATTACAAAGAGCATTGTTCATTTACTGTATATTGCATTAATATACAGATCAAAGATACAAAAATATAATTCCAGTGTCTCAACTTCACATGCAGTTTTGTTTAATGGGACTGTGTGTAGCTATTTTTCAGCTTGCATGATTTTCATTCAGTGATACGTAAACAGATTCCTGTCAGACTTCTGTCTGCTGCACCTAACTATCGACTCCCAGCCACCCAACAAGCAGAGCGTGTGTTGCCTGATGCTCAAGCATGTGTAAGAGAACTTCAGACTCTAGAGGTCTCCATCCTTCAGCATCCCCTCATCATCATCCACCTATTCTCCCTCCTCCTCCTCCTTCTCCTCTCTGGCATTTTGTGCAGCGGAGGAGGATAGGAGGAGTGACTGCTGAGGAGGAGACAGAGGGGACTCTGAGACAACACGTCCCACGCCAGAGCCAGACAGCCAGGGAACTTTGATTTGACGCCAAGTAGCCTGCGATCAAAATTACAATGAAAAGAAAGAGCCTCGTTTCTTCCTCCTCGTCTTCTCCTTTTTCTTCTCGGGAGGCTTAGATATGTCGGGCGTGTGCAACATATGATGTCGTTGGACTCATAAGCTCAATGAAGATTTATCTCTGATTTCGGTCCTTAATTCGCTGATGGTGCCGCTTCGTTGTGCTTGCGCTTAGGTCAGCCGAATGAATTTGAAGGCAGTCTGAGCGCATTGTTTCCAGCTCCGTTACATATGGGATTTCGAGCCGTGATGTCTGCAATCTCTCGCTCTTTGTTTCTGGGTAAGTCACTTTCCATTTCTTTAAAAGACCGGATTTATTTATGTAAAAGCAGCGCTGGCGTGTTGCTCTGAAAATTGAGGATGTGAACACCGAGGTTCATTTTTCGTATATATTTGAATATAATTCTCTTTCGTTGTTTCACGTGTCGTTAAGACCACATCTGACAGCTTCGGTTCAGAATGATGTCAGAATATATCTGTTGTCTATTTTCTCTTCCCCCTTATGACACTTTAAGATTTGGGTGAGAAATGACTACATTTACATTTAGATTCATCTTCAAAAACGCAAACGCGCTGTAGCCAACCGTGCGCTTTCTCTCAAGCTGGGAGCTCTCGAAAATGGGACAAATTAAAGCAACGTGAAGGGGATAAAAGTTCACCTGACCCCTCCCTTCAAATCTGCTTTCAAGATTTATTGACCCTGCGCGTTCTTTTATTGGCATTTTCTTCAAAGGCAGGCCCGCAGCAGATGCACAAAAACCTCCTTTGTCATATTTAAACAAAGGGAAATAATTCATTAATTTCAGTAACCACCAAGAAAACACTAGGCTAGAAAAAGATCTCTATTCTAGCTCTTCTGGATGTCAGTGATTAGATTTGTTAGGATAATTGTTAGGATAGGATATCTTGAAAGGATCTCTAAAAAGTCTTTTTTTTTTTTTTAATTGTTACTCTTATTTTATTATATCATAAACCATAGATGGACCTCTTTTTATTTTATAGAAACAGAAGCTTCATTTCTCTCCAAGGCTTGATTTTATCACTACTGCTATTTGCTGTGTTAACAGTAATCCTGCTTCTATTATTACTGTTACTAATATTATGGGATTGTAATGTAGAGGGGGCCTGGAACTGTTTCCAGGTCTGAAGCTCAATGAGGAATGTTTAATTCCACTGTGACCTCTCTGACTGGAAGTTACAGTTAGCACTGCGGGACGGTGTGTTAAAAATGACAGCCAGTGCGAGGTGTTATTCACCCCACTGCTGTCTCATCACCTGTGGTGTAACTGAGGGGAAAACTAGTTTTGAAAGCCACAGATTTGAAAAGACAAACTAACAAAAGATTTTAAAGTTTGAAAATTGTCTTTGACTGGGTGCTAGAAAAACTTTGAACCCCCACCCTGGTTGAGAGTTAGATTGGTTGAGTGTAGCCATATGAGGAGAAATCCACACGGCTCGTGCGCTCTGGTCTGAGTCCCGAGGTCGTGCTCTGGTAGTTTCTGTGTGGCTTGCTGCTTGTTGCGTATTGCAGTCTGGAGAGAAATCAAAAGACCTCGGCATTTGTTTTTAATTTTCTATTCCATTAGTTTAGACATACAACTGATGTTATTTGCTTATGCTTGATGTGGTTTGTGCTGCAGGCTTGTAAATGCTTGGGGAGTTTGTTATCTTCGTCTCCCATTATTCAGTCACTGACATATTGTGGTGATATGTCTGTGGAATACCCTGTCCAATGCCTAATGCGTTCAGTGGAGAGATCCTCGTCCCTCTGGACCTGGTATAAAATAAATAGATAGTTGAAGGATGGAGATATGTATGGATAAGCTAACCTGTCATGGCTTACATTGGTAGACCAGCAAGTACAAAGAGTGTGGTACACTGTAATGCATACTGATCCTCTGTTAAACTAAAGGAGCTGACTCTGCAGAGAACACTGCATGCAAGTAAATTTTAGGTTTAGGTCAAAAAGCACTCTGTAACACTGGGCAATGATGTAGGCTATTTTAAGCTAAGCATGCAGATTATCATAACACCAGCAGTGCTTTTCCGGTAATGACGATCTTAAATAACGCAACCGGCTCATTCAGGAGAAGGCGAAAACATTACACATTATCCCTAAATAATAGCAGTTGTTTGCTTTTCTTAAAATAACCATATGACTGCGCCTTGAGTATTAAATGACTTGTTGCCATGGTGAGGTATTTTTCCCCTCCTTTGTCATGTTTAAGACAACGGAAAGAAAACTAGTTTGTGCAGCGATGTGACTGGATGGCATGTTCAATACAGTTGGAACCGGGGTCACACGTCTCTCATCCAAGAACAAAACATCCATCAGTCATCCAAAAGAGTATTCACCCACCCCCCAACCGAGGGGATATGCAGCTTTTCAAGCTTGGCTGCTTGGCTGTACCATACCGAAGGACTTTTTTCCTCTGAATTTATAGCCTGCGTTAATTCAAGATCAACTAAAAGGCCAAGCAGAGGGAGGAGGTGGCTGTTTTATTCTAAAAGAGGATCAATAGTCATTAATAGGGGCTCCTTTTCTTTTAATTTGGATTTGGCTTCGCAAGTCCTGAGACATCCTTAAATTAATATCTGTTGGAAATGTAATATCCACTGGTCACATTACAGATAAGTAGCACAATTAATTGCCACAGAGAGTTCAATAGCTCCCTTCGGTAACTCTGCTGATGTGAAGTAAGAATCAGAACAAGGTCATACAAAACTGAACAAATCAAGTAACTCAGTAAGAGCACAGGGCACGTGGCAATTTGGCCAGGTAATGGAGACCAGTGATTGATTGCGTGTCTGTCCCAGTGCCAGGATTAAATGATTCTGAATGGGGGGAATTTGAAAGTGAAATGACTGTCCAAAAAGTAATAACACAATCTAAGTCACTTGACGGAAATCTAATTTGAAAGTATGATTAGCTTTTATATGAGAGCCGAACCTTAGCACCTTTGCTTCTTTTTCTTTTTCCTGCATGGCCTTTTGGGCCTCAGTGTCTAAGAAAACTGCAATGTGATCACTGCAGTACAGCAGGCTCTTAGCATTAAGATGTGTGCTGATGTCCACATTCATACAGTATAACACTGAGAAGATGGCAGTGCCTATGCAAGTATGCTAGTGTGTGATGTAGATAAAGAGAGCAGTGGCTCCAAACAGAAATTCTGTCCCCATTCTATATTTAGCATGTCTGCCGGGGTAGGCAGAGGATCTCTGAAATGTGAAGATGACAGGAGCCTCCTGAGCCAGAGGTTATGAAGTGACATCTTGATGTGTTTGTGCCTGAATCACACTCCCACACACACACACACACCCTGCCAAAGACTTCTGACATTCCTGCACACCCAAAGACGTTCCGATATTTGACGTCTAGTTACCATACATTAAGGCTTAGTTTTGATCTTCTTTTGACTCATGTCGTGCGTCAGTGTTATCATTTGGCATCCCCGTTCTATATTCTCAGCTTTGAAGGTATTTTGTTTGTTTTTTTTGGGGGGGGGATATGTGGTGACTCTGGAAGCTCTGCTTTGCAGGACTTGAACTTGTGTGATGTTTGACTTCTTACTTGCATGAAGAGTAATCTCATATTTTTAAAGCATAAACCATTCAGTTATTTTCAATTTTACTTGAATTACCAAGTTCAGTTAATTTTCTTAGTCGTTTCACACATTGGGACTAGTGTGGTTTTACACAAAGTGTGTGTAAAAATCCCTATCATTTAGCGCGAATGCAGGACTTACAGTAAAGTGTAGCTGCAGCTGTTGAAGGAAATTTTGTACCAATGCTTTTTGTTGAATGACTTCCCTTGCACCTACAATGTCAGTTATTTTACATGCAGAACGAAGTGTAAAAACACTTCCATCCAGAGAGGATTGTATTACTCAAAACAAAAATGCAGAATCTGACTGGCTCATCAAGGGCAGAGCCCTCTGGAATACAAAACCTGCAACAATGGTGACTGAAGAGGCCTACACATGAGTGCAGAGGTCCTGCTGTCCTCAAAACAATTGAACCATATCATTAGCAAACACTGATTTGCCTTCCAAGCACTTTCCTTCTGATGTGTATGGCCTTTAAATGACAGCATGGTTCCCTGAATAACAAGCCATCCTCTTTTTGTACCTGGGGGGATTCTTCATGTTTCATTGATTGTGGTGCTTTTAGTTGGAAGGTCTTTCTATTCTGTCGCAGCAAACCGAATGCCACGCTTTGAATGAGAGCGTTTGTAGGTGAAAGTCTAACTGCTTTGTACAGTAAGTGCTTTTATTCCTGGAGGATCGAGGCAGGTTTGTGTTTTCACTGAAACCGAAGACATCCGACGGAAAAATACACAAAGATTGTACCGCTGCAATCGTCTGCAGTTTTCCACAATATTTCTTTGTTTGGCAGTTCCTTCATCTTCATTTCACCACACCCGCAATTTCCGAGCCACCCGGTCGTTATTCTGCACGAGCCGTTTGTCGCTTGCGTCCTGCGAAATGAAACACACATGCGTAGACAGAGGTGGGTTTGTGTAGTGTTTCTGACCTACACAAACCCGGCCCCTTTCATCCGTCACTGGGAAAATTACTCCCAGATTATTTTGGAAAGTATGAACAGGAACTGCCTATTTCACTTTACTGCTAATCTTTGACAGATGTTCTGGAGAAGCTCACGTTCACATTAACCAGAGACACATGTGCAGTCTATGCTGGGCTGAACAGCAGTATTAATGAACGTCAAGACTCCACTGATAGTCAGGATGATCAGATTGAGCTGTGACACATTTTAAAGGAAAGCGAATCTGGTTACTGAGTGGAGGAAATATTTTCTTCTATTAAGTCGCTAATATTTTGCAAATGAGCTTTTAGGGCTTAAACATTTTTTTGATCAGTTGATTAACAAATTGGAAGAAAATGAACCATCGCAATTAGGGGAAAAAAAGGAGAGTAGCTGTAAAATAAAACAGCAAAAGCACATACACTTTACGGGAAACATAATTGTTCCACCTGCATCTGCTTTTATTTTTAATGTTTGCATCTGGCAAGAAAATGTGCTCTAGCCATGTTCTTTACTTGTTTACTGCAACCATTTGATCTTCTTTTACAATATCCATTCATAACAACTAAACTAGCTTAAATCTTATTTATGGTTATGTTAAAGGAACTCCCGTCACATAGGGATAGGGAAAGATTGTGGTCTTTGTTATTTACTGAAAAAGTCAACAGTGGCTATAAGAATGAGACACAACTTGATTGCAGTATTTAGCACAGCATTGTTTAGAGTATTTAATGT